CTGGAGAATTCTGGGAGTTGAAGTCCACCCACCTTAGAGTTGCCAAGGTTGAGAAACACTGCCTTAGGACATTGTCGTATGCTGGTTGGTGACACCAGGGTGCCCTGCAGCCATTACAGCTGGCAGAGATAACCAACTTTGCTTTTTGCAGACACGCAACAGTCATCACTCAATGGGCCATTGCGCACACATGCAAACGTTCAGTCCTGTCTTCTGCCACACACTGAGCCAAACCTTAGTCGAAATTAGGGGGCCATCCCAACCCAGATAAAGGCCAAACTTGTGGAGAAGACAAACAGCTTTAACTGTAATCTGTGAGTGTGGCAAATCCTTAGCTTAGGTTAGTCCAGTCATAATTGCCTGTGTCATCCAAACAGGAAGCAATGGTTAAATCATGGTTAAGCAGCTACACAAAGTGATTGGGGCACACTTTGCAGGTAACTCCCATAGTCCTGGGTAGCATGGACCACTTCAACATCATGAGTAGGCATGTTCCAAAATCTCTTCCTAATGTTAGCTACCCCTAGACGTTTTCTCCTCTCAATCTGGTGCTCCTCAGAAACAAGATGGAGTTACTTATGGACAACTTACTGGAAACCCACCTATATGGACAGACAGTTGTGGCTATGGTTTATATTTTGTTCCACTTTCCAAAGCCAGGGTTACATCACTCATAGAAATATTGGAAGGTATGGAACTACAAGCTCAGCACCTGACAGGCAGAGCTGAAACCAAATGAAAGAAAGGTGAAGGTGAGGCAAGATCAGAAATGGTGAGGAATAAACTCATAACTGGTGCAGGAGCTTAGCAGAGAGGTAACGAAAGGGTGGAAGAACGTCTAGCCGATGGGAAGCATGGTTATGCAGCTGCAAAAAAGGAACAACTGTAAGACAGGTTGGATGAGGCAAGAGTCAAACCACAGGCTTCCCACGAATTGATGCTGGAAGGGAAGATCAGCCAAGAAGCAGAATTGTGCTTTGAACACCAGGAGAAGCTTCTGTACCCAAGGTCCCCAGTTGGAAGAAACTAGGCTACCAAAGCTGGTTGGGAAAGGTTTTCTCTGCTCAAGAATCAGAAAAGACAGGGAACTGTGGACCAGTAGATCTACTATGGTGCAAAAATTTTGCAAGCCGCTGTTCCTCCACCGAGCATTTCCCACAAGTGGGTTTGCAGTAGAGACAGTAATTATCCCAGCTTAGTCTACACACGTCCTGTTACAATTCCTAGGATATCATACTTGGAACAGTATGCAGGACAGCAGTGCTTTTGCTTCATGTCAGCTTGGAGAGGGAGGAACCGTATGATTAAGTTTTAAAAGGGTGCAAAGGGTAAGACTATGAAGTGTAAGACAGCATACCTCCACACCTGGCTTTCTGGATGACCATCATTCTCTAAGGCCAACAGGAGAAGGCTACAGAAGATAGTGCAGCTCTACAGAGGATGAGGAACAGACACCAGAAAAATAACTTCACCCCCAAAATTAGTGTTGAAGGACTCAGAAAGAGATGGGGAACCTGAAAGTGTTGGATTCCAATTCCCTTCCTGACCAGTGGCCAAGTTAGCTGTGGTAATGGGCTTTGGAGCCCAACATTCCTCATTCCTGTAATACTTCCTATTTCCAGGGATGGATATGAAGGAGCGGTTCAAGTTCTCTCCTTTTTGACCAAGACACTTTCTTCTGTCTTCCTTCCCCTAGAAAAAAATAAATTTAAGATAGCCCCAGAAGAGATCAAATGATCCTCAAATCAAACCACAAGAGCTCTTGGATAACCCAGAAGTTGTATTTCAATAATACAACACCCTCCTCCCACCAGCTCGCCACCCCGATGCTTCGGCTTCAGAACAGCTGACTTCCAAGTGCACGGCTGGGCATTGCTTATTAGCAAAATGAGAAACCTGATCTACAGAAAGAAAACACTATGCGGAGATTAACTCTGAACTGCAGTTTGCAGCCAACAGCAAGTCTTCATTCAATGCAGATTAAAAAACAAATCACAAACCACTCCCCCCCAACACAGATAAAGCAAACTTCTGCTCCCTGAGATCATTCTTATACCGCGCTTCTTGAATGCTCCTGTTTTAATTGCGATCAATTGGTATATTTTGACACTTGAGATCCAAGAGTGCACTTTACACCTTGCCTTACCTACCCCATTTCACCAAAGCATGAGGGGGTGGGGCGGACAGGGACTTTCTGTCCAGAAATTACACACAGAAGCATAACTAATTCTTGCATACTTGGATGCACGCAGACGCTTGTGGTCCATCGTGAAGAAAATATCTAGTCCTTTGCAAGTTGCAGGGTGAACATCTGGGGAAAAGGAACTGGGAAATTGCTTAAAGTCTGAAACAGAAACACTGCAGCAAAAAAGCAAGACTCGGACAATATTACTGTATATTATGAGTGCCCCTTTACCATAGTAACTCGAGCACAATCGCATGAAAAAAATCTCTGCGTTCAAAGAAAGGCCCCTTCAAAAATGCACATGCGGTTTCCAAGGTTCAGAGGCTTTGGCCATCGTTCCTGCCACACAGTTAACTGAATCATGGTTTATTCCATTAACCCTTTCCTAGGTTTATGCCACCCTGTCCAGGATAATCAGCTAAGAGCTGAGTGCACATAAACAGCCAGGACTAAAATGCGGCACAGAGACTGGGAGGAATTGTAAACCCTGCCGAGCATCGCTTGCCATTTGGGCAAGATTGCACATATCTGACAGCACTCCGGCCCCATGACAACAAATATCGCTAGATAAAAGGAGCAAAAATGGCCAGAAGATCCAGCATCACTCTGCGGGGCCTGAGACAGCCAACCACTCATGGCACGCTACAGGACATGGTGGAAACATCAAAACTGTTCCCAGGAAAGTAAACAAGGACCCCCATCTTTTTCTTTTAATAACTTCAACTTGGTTTGAATCAAACTGCTATCTTTCCCCAATATTCTAGTCTCATCCCTTCTCCAAGGGCCAACTCAACCTCTTCACGCAGCAACGGCCCTCATTTTTCTACTCAGCCAAAGCTTTCAACATTTCTGCAAAGAGCTCTCTTGGGTTGCCCCGTCTGGAAACTGTTCAGTTTTATAAGCCAGCCTTGGTATAACTCTACCAGCTCAGCCCAGTTAATTTTTTGCCAACCCCAACCAGGCAGACGTGTCCAGTGATAGTGAAATGCAAGCCTTCCCTCTCTGCCCAGCCCTTCCCCCCACTTCTCCAGACCCCAGTGAGCTTAGGCTGTCACAGCCCACATAATGGCCGAATCGCAAATGCAATTCATTTCTGCCTCTCCGGCAACCCGCCCGCCCTGAACCTTTGCAAGGCAACATCTGCTGTGGAGTTGTTGAAACTAAGCCATTCTTGGAGGCACAAGGTTTCACTTGGGGCAAACCCCCAAAGGGCTGCTTTGAAGAAGGGGGGGAGGAGGCGGAAGAGGAGGAAAGAAGTAGTAATAGTAGCAGTGGTGGTTATGGAGGAACAGAAGGAGGAAGAGGAAAAGCAGTGGTGGTGGTGGAGAAGGAAAAGGAGAAGGAAAAGAAAGGAGGAAAAAAGTAGTGGTGGTGGTGGTGGAAGAGACGGAGAACAAGGAGGAGGAGGAGGAAGAGAAGTAGTGGTGGTAGAAGAGAAGGAGAATGAGGAAGAAGAGAAGTCACAGCGGTGGTGGAAGAGAAGGAGAACAAGGAGGAGGAAGAGAAGTAGCAGTGGTGGCGGTGGAGGAGAAAGGGAGAGGACTACAAGAAAGCAGGTAGGTGGGCTGTCTTTAAAACTCCAAAATCACAAGCTACTTTTCTTTGCCTTGAAAAGATACCCCACAACCAAGAAGGAATGCACTTGAAGCGTACACGTCTCACCTCACGGCCAAGCTGTTTTCCACACCATTTTCTCGTCAACCCTTTAAGAGAATCCAGGAAACCAGAGCGGGAAGTAAACCCATGAGGGTGGAAGCAAACAATCCAGCCGTAATCTCCAGAGCTCGAGAATGCCTTATCGCAACCCTTCTCCTGCTGACCTACTTGGGGCCGCTGGACAACTCATGACCCAAGCACATCCATGTGGCCAGCACCTTGCCAGGGTGTGCTTCAACCCAAGTAATTCAGCACAGCATCTGCATGAAGTCTCCCACACGGTTTCTTCACGTCTTACTCTTCTCTCTGGGAGGACACACCCACCCCAATCAAGTTAAACACTGTTTACATGTGCACATCTTCAAATGAGCCCTTTTAAGATATTAAAACGTTTCAGCCAGTCCCCACGCTCGCCAAGGGGAAAAAAATTGCAAAAAAAATATTCCAGGACATTAAGCAAGCGGATTCCATGTTCCCAGTTCTTAAAGAAAAAATATATATACACGGTGCAAATTTCTCGGAAGATGCAAGACGTGTCCTGGAGAAAGGAGGACATCTTAAAGAAAAGCTGACCTGCCATTATTCCATTGAAGGTGCAACCTTCCCACGTAAGTCCCAACTTCTCCCCAAAGTACAAAAACAACGATTTCTGAACACCTGGTTGACACAAGAATGTTGGTACTCGGAAGGTGTCTTCCCAGATTTACTTTTTAAAGAAACAGGTCCATGTTTTAAGGAGTAGTCCCATGCAAACCAACCACAAATATCTTGGAGATGCCCATCTTACAACACAGCAACACCCTGGAGCCCATCAAAAACCTAAAAGATGCAGAAGGGTTGAGTTGGAATTTATTCTCCAGCTCTCCTTAGCAAGCTATTTTGTTTTCCTTAAGAAAGAAAGAAAGAAAGAAAGAAAGAAAGAAAGAAAGAAAGAAAG